TTTGTTTAGCTCAATGGATACAAATACTTGTCGAAGAAATACATCACCAAGAGCATCATCAGCACGAAAATGACTCGTGCATTTCAGAGAAAAGTCACAGTGTGCAATCCATTGACAACTTCGAAGAATATTTATATCCGCTAGGCTTGGAATTCCGATCTGCTTGCTGTATTGAATTCTTAATAATATCTGGAATTTGCCATGATTGTAAAAAACTTCACGAATATTTGGCTTGTTTGGCAAAAATAGGGGATACCATCTGCAACATAATAATGGCTCGTTTGGGCCAAATAGGGAATACCATCTGGAACATAACAATGGCTTGTTTGAGCCAAATAGGGAATACCATCTGCAGCAAAAAAGAACAAAATCAAGGTTGTCGACAAAAAGCTCTGTGTTGTCCTATTATTATAGGAATAATTAGGGATTGCTGCACAAATATCTTGAAAACGGTAGAAAAAACTACTTTTCCTGCTCTTGGTGTCATTGTAATTATTATTCCAATGGTCATCGTTATGTTTCAAGAATCCAACACGAGCACAGTTCACGCTTTGACCATCTCGATTACTAATACGAAAGTTGATTTAATAACTCTTGTCAGTGAAAGCTGTGAAATCACCCTAATAGGTCTCCTTATCTTATTTTCAATATTTACTATAATAAGACTTCGCACAACAGAAGCTCCACCGTCTGCTTCAGGGGCTGCTAACAACAATACAAAATTTACAATCGATTTTGCGGCTCTACTCTTGACATTCGGATTTCTGTTAGTTTATTGCAGTATTACTCTGCGTGGATCAAACGGCCCGAGCAAAGGATCCGCTACAAAACCAGAATGTACATTTGATGGACTTATAATACGCTTGACTAGAGCTGCTTCATCTTTGTCTTTCGTTCAAGGACTTCTCCAATTATTGGTTATTTGCACACTTCGTGCAAGGAGAATAACGCTCAGTAAAACTCTTAGTACACTGTGGATCATGTTCAGCTTTGCACTATGGCTTTTCGACTCATTCAGTGCAAAACGATACATTACAAATAAAATTCAAATCTGTCATTATGAAAGCAGTTGGAAAATTCTGGCACCGATTTTTATACCTATGGCGATATTTTTCCGCTTCCACAGTTGCATCGTTTTTGCCAATATCAAAGCTAAATCCTATTCGGATTAATGTGTTCTTTTCTTAACTCGGCAGTCCTTCAAATATAAACAAGAACCATCACTTTTGCATTTTTCTCTTATATGATCATTCCATTTACTTTAAACTACTGTAGTCATGTCAGTATTAAGAAATGTTTCACAATAAAATAAAAGCAAAATATTTACTTGTTGGCTAGTCATGGGTCATAAACAAGTGAGATCGAAACTAGGGTGTGTGGGTGGTGGGTGTGGGTAAGGGTGAGTGTGGGTGTGGGTGTGGGTGTGGGTGTGTGGGTGTGGGAATGGGTATGGGTGTGGGTGTGACAGAAAAGAAGACACATCCCCACCCACACCCACACTCACACACCCACACCCATACCCTTATCGATTTTAGAACTAAACTTTGATCCTAATATACATCAATTGCATTTTCATAAAATCTCGTCGACCCATCAGGAAAATGATCATACGATTTCAAATTTAAAAAGTAGACATTTCTCACTATTATTGTAAACTCTGCAGCTTCTTGGGTACCACCTTACATAAGAAGTACAGCCATTAACGATAACTCAAATATATATAAGATTCAAAGACGAACTCCCTTCTATGACTCTGAAATCATAGAAATATACTAAACGATATAAGGGTAGAATAGATAACTAGAACAACATAACTGTCCATTAAGTTTTGATTTGCCAGAAGAGTATAGTTTTGTTTCGGCTTAGCTTTAATAAACTTGTCTTAATTACAGAGATTATTCAAATTTTATGTGTATCAACTATTCTCTCGATCTCCGAAATGAATTTGTCCCTTTCCACTAATAAAATAGCTTACGCTTGTCATATGATCTTATCGGGAATTAAGAATGTTGAAAAACTTTTCATATTAACGTAAACATAGGTATTAGTGTAATATAGTGACACCTAGAATATCGACACTAATCGTGTCGGCAGATATTTTATAATTTTCCCACTCACATGGAAATAGCAAATCAGGATGGCAGCTCGAAGGTTCAGTTGAGTCAAAGAGCCTGAACTATCTGAGTACAGAGAACAATATCCACAGGGGGTTGCTTGGAAGTGCCTAATGAAACACCTCCACAAAGAACCTGCTCGTTAAACACTTATTTCTGACAAAGTTGACCGCTTCAAAATCCGTCATGATAACCAAACATCAGTATGAACATTCCGATATGTAAAACTACATGGATAGAGTCAGTGCAATAGGTGTCGTCATGTCCTATTAATACTGAGAACATATTAACGGCGCATCTGCGTAGAACATTGAGTAATCGTTTTTACATTTGTTATGACTCATTATTCTCTTTCTATCGTAAATATTTCATATTAAACTAGTCGCTCGCCGTAAAACGTGACTTTAACAGATATTGAAAAAGAGACATTAGAAAGAAAAAAAAACTCGAGTTTCAATTCCTTTGACGATATATTAAACGAATCATTATCAAAAAACAAATTTGACAATTATACAAACTAAAATATTATTCAACGGCACAGTTTAAAGCGGAAAAATTCGATCATTTGCTCCAAATTCGTCCGTCTTGTAGTGGTATGTAGTAATATCTCGTAATATAAAACTTTACATTAATTTCGATTTATTTAAAATCAGATATTTGTACATTGTGATAAGTAGTAGGATCAATTTGATTTTGAAAATGAAAGATGTATTCTAATAAATCCTAAGGTACTATTGATGAAACTTTAAAATCTAGTTTGTATTTGATAAGCATATCGGGAATATTCTAGCAATACATTTTAGAGATGACGCATTTACGAGAAAAAAATACTTTGTAAAGTAAATCCTGTGAACATCCGACTTGGCGAGAAAAATATTGTTTGTATTCGTCACACAAATAATACGTCAATAAGTAAATGGTATACATTATTTCTAGAATTTCGATAGTAATAATCGTTTGTATCTTCAAATTATATGTCGTAATGGTTTTTTTTCTAATTTGTTTTGTGTGTAATAGTTTGTAAAGCAAAACATTATTTTGGCATATGAGGATAGAGGAGATTCCATTTGAGAGATCTTTTAATGAGACAAACAATGAGCGTTAAGTAATAAAGAAATTGACAAATATTTACTTATTGCACAGAGATAGTGCTATGCAAATATCGAATGTTCATGCATAAAATTAAAAAGAATCGTTGGCTGAAAAACTGTGTCATGCTTCGAGTTTCTAAATGTTTTCTTCTTATAGAAATAGGTAAGAACTTTCTCAGATACACTTTTAATTCTAGAAACTTTTAAAATATTAATCATACTTCAGAAATTTCTCCAGAATATTTGAGAATTTGATAACCTACTCTATTTTGAACTCGTCCAAACCACTCCTTCACTCAATTCGTTACTGTGAGTAAATAAAGTGGCATATTATTTGAAAAATATATTAAAAAATATTGATGCTTTGCGCAATAATAACTTTACAATCATATTCATTGTTTATACTTTGAAAGTTAGAATAATTTCATCGACTTCAGCATACTTTCCTACTACATTTGTAGTTGTAATGATCGAATACGTGAAATAAAATTTTAGAAGAATAAGCGGATGAACATCACGATAAAGTATACTAATTTTCTTTGAAATTTGAATTACGTCAACAATATTTTTTGTGGATGACAAATAGGAAGCAAGACTTATTGAATTAAATGTTTTCTTTGCTATAATTTTTCCTAACAAGAGTTTCAATATATTAAAAGCCTGACTAGTATATCCCTTATCTGGCTGTGTTTGTATGTGAAGGATACACTATAATTTTAGCTAAAATGATCCGCAAAATTGTTACATAAAACTAAAAAGCTGTTGGAAATCCCTATTTGAGTATTATATGAATGACTCATATGTTTTCAAAGAGTTCGGAGAGTACTATCAAAAGCAACCATGTTTAAGTTTATTTTCAGATTTAACCATATTTACAGCAACAAGATTTCAAAAATTGTATATTATTTAAATATGACAATATTCTTTAATTTAATAACGAGACTTATAAGTCTTCAACAGAACGTAGAAGTACAATGAGAAACAATTTGTCAAACATAGTCATTCATTAAACGAAGAAAAACAATGTAAATCTGATCATTTTGTCTCAAACCTTTTCTGCCTTTAGAAAGATTTTCATATTAGTTATATCAACAGATACACCCAAGTCTTCTGCTCATTATAATTTCTATCACTAATAAACATTTTTAAATAATAATTCTTTCTTTCTCGTTGTTTTTTATTTGAAAATCAATTTCTATTAATAGACCATATCAGAGAATTGGATATTCGAAACTATCTCATTTCTTTTACTGTAATGTCGTCAAACAAGATAAGTGAGAGTTAACATAAATATTAGAATCAAGATTTATTTTTTATCCCTAGATTGTTCTTTTCCTGATATGAAATAATTCAACGATAATATATTATTTTAAGTAGCTTTACTAAGCAACTAATTTTGAAGACTCATATTACGATAAAATTGTTAGTCAGCAAAATTTGACAATGGTTAACATCATAGAAATAAGGGATAGATTAGATACATTACAGTCTTAAACTCTTTGTTCGCATTGTTCCCGCTTTGCTTTACGGAAGAAAGAAAAGAGCTTGTTGAGGACAATTAAATAATAAACATTAAAACATTTCCTATCTGAAATATTTCAACACTCAGTTCTATATATGAAATAAAAAATTCGATGCTTCAATTCCATTGATAAGAAAAACGTTGTCGTTAACACATATTCTTCTAGTATTAGCTCTGCGTGAAGCAGACTTTCAAAGAAATACAAAAAATTAAATGTTTTGCGTTTTAGAAATCATATCTTAACATTTTACAATTGTGTTCATTTTACTGAACATGGCTGCAGGAGAACTAGAAGAAACAAGAGCTCAACGTGTTACCGATATCACTGATGAACCTCTTGAATTCATCGCACCTATAACTGGTTATGAAAAAGAACCTCTCGTTTCATTGGAGCAAGCTACTAAACCACTTGTGAAAATTCTACCAACTATTGAGAGTCGTGTCTACGTTGCTAAACAAAAATGTAGGAAGCCTGCCGATAATTTAACACAGGACGAATCAGCTGCCATCATGCTTTATACGATGGGATGGCAACCACGTAACGAATGTTTGTATTTCGTTTTGAATGAAACGTTACGCGCATCAGATCGGGACGAAACGCTGAAACCATGGTATTTATATATTAGACTCTTTCTGAATGCATTGTTTCGTCTTTCACCACTTCAAAAAACGGTATATCGAGGTGTTCGATTGGACATGAGCACTCGTTATATCAAAGAAGAAACAATAGTTTGGTGGGGTTTCTCATCCTGCACTACATCTGTTGATGTTCTGAAGTCGAAAACGTTTTTAGGCGAAACTGGAAATCGAACAATATTCAATTTACATTGCCAATCAGCTAGAAGTATCCGTAATCATTCATATTTTCCAGCGGAAGGAGAAATGTTGCTATTAGCTGCGACTCAATTTAAAGTAGTAGGCTGTCTTAAGCAAGGTGATCTTCACATAATTCAATTGGAAGAAACTCCTCCTCCAGTTCCACTTTTACAGCCGGTGCCGATAATCGTTCCTGCATCATCAATGTCAGTTAAAACGAGTAAGTAGAAAAAGCCAACAACCTAGAAGTAATATTTTAAAAGAAATAAAATGATTACCTGAGCATGTCTTAATAGAATGAATTCTATTTAGGAATCGAGATAAATTGCGTTTATTTATAAATTATTCATTTTTTTTTCCTAATTTCTCTGGTCATTGTAAACACTAGTATTTCTTGATAGAACTTCAGAAAAATCAGTTACCAAAGACAATGTGTGCTACGGGATATTCGATGTATTTATCTTGATCTTTATTTATCCTTGTACTGATAACCTTAATGCAACATAATAGTTCCATGTTATATGAAATTTTGAAACACATGTGAATCTTTATATCTGCTATCGATTTTTTTTTCTGGCACTTTTCTCATATAAACTGATAATTTGTTAATAAGTAATCAAACAGAAAAATAATAGTAAATTTCCCTATAAACCAATATTAAGATTAAATTTAAATAAAAAAAACACTAAATGTTTCCTCTACATCACTGTAATAGAAATTTTGGCGCATTCAAAATGACATGACATAATATAGAAGGCGATCAAATTAGATGAGTTAAATTGAGATTGATATATACACTCTTGGAAAAAAATGTTCCTCTGTATTTTTAGGATATTTTTGTCAAATGAACATGTTTTATGAAAAGTAACAACATATTCTGGAAGCCCGTGAGATTTTACATCATCCTGTATATTTAGATTTTTATGCGAGTCGATATATAAAAAAGTTCTTACAATGAAATGAACACGCCTTCCATACCTTATTTCCACACACTTAATCCACTCATTATTATCTCATATTGTTATTACGATTTTTTTTAGTGTTACGAATAGGTTTTGAAAAAAGTAATCACATATTCTGATAGAACTTCAAACACTCTATCATCCCGTGTACTTGTCCATTTTCTTTTACTTATCTCTTAAATGAAAATTAAAAAATAGTAAATGCAAGTATAGTTGACAATTACTAATATTCTATCTTTATCTCTGTTTTTTTCTCGTTTTTTTTTACTAACAAATATTCTACATTCTATGAATACCTCAAACGAAGTTATACCTACCAATAGTGTGCAAACTCTTTCATTAGCCTATGGATTTTTATACGAAGTACAACTGTTTCTGTATTTTATTATTAGAGCGTTTTTCTGATCCAATAGAAACTTATCAAAATGAATTCATAAACTTTGTTTAGAGACAACAATGAGAATGTTTCATAGATTCTCAGCCCTTCCGGTCTGAAAGAAATCTAAATTGCATTGTTTCAATATTGTGTTTATCTATTTTAATCGATTATTATTACTAGCAACTGTTATTTCTAACATAATAAGAAGATACTCATTAAAATTGTTCATGTTAGCAAGCGTATTTGTAGATGTTATCAATTAGTATTCTTTCATATTTATTGAATTCAACAATTAACTTCGGTTTTACAGATGTGTTTCATACTCAAAACGTAAATAAAATTATAATTAACAATTGATTTCTTTATTTCTGAGTCTGTCTATCTATAAAAGAAAATCGAGAAACTTTTTTTTGAAAGGTTCAGATTAGGAATGCAACGGTGACGGTGGTCCACCGTCTATCGGTGTACCGTACCACCGGTGCACCCGTATACGGTGCACCGTGTGCACCGGACAGGACATACTACGACAACTACAACTGTGCAGCCAGCGACTTGGGCATAATTGTACTTTATGTAAACACCTCTGTTATTTTGGCTTTTGAGATTGAGAGTTGTTTATGTAAGCTAGACTTGTTCTAAAACTGAATATGCAGTTTTGTAGAGTGAAGTTCGTTCTATCAATTGGCATGTTAGACTTGTTCCAAGTCTAGTTTGTATAAATAACTCTCACGCTCACAAATCTTCAATTCCTATGCTTTTGCGACTTTTGAGGGTGCGAGCTGTTTAAATAAACTAGACTTGTTCCAAGTCAGCATGCAATCGATAGAGCAAACCTCGCTCTACAAAATTGCATGTTCAGTTTCAGAATAAGTCCAGTTTATATAAACAACTCTCAGTCTCAAAAGTCATAAGAACAGAGGTGTTTACATAAAGTACATTATACCGCGACTTGTTCAAAAAAAAGTAAAATCGTTAGGCATGCAAGAGTAAGCCTAACGATTGAGACAAGAATTGCATGCAAAGTATAACGA